GTCTGCAAAGGCCCTTAGTCAACAAGGAATCTTGTAGCACCTTGCAGAATAACATATTTTATTTATCATGATCTTTTTGTGGATTTCAGCAAATACAATTTGATGAATGCAGGAGTCCATAAAAGCTTATGCCAAACAAAGCCTATTAGTCTTTATAAAGGGCCACAGGATTCTTTATTGTTTGTTAAAATAATGCAGCTAATCCTCACCCAAGCCAAGTATTTCTGTGGATCATTCCTTCTCTGCTGACTGGTTACCGTTACCCCATCAAAAAAACCAACACAGCCATCCCACTTCAGGTAAAATAGGTACTCCACTGGAATTGACGCCATCTCCTGACCAGATTTACATAAATACATCAAGTAAATTTTTCTCTATAGGCAAGAAATCACAAACAACACAAATCCTATTTGCTTCCTCAGGGGCAAAACATCACAGTAGTCTAACACAGACAATAAGAGCCTGGAAATGTTACTTTTTTGCTCAGTTCCCAGGATCCGCAATCTAAGAGTGATATTCTAGGAGCTGCACTCCAAAAAATAACTTTTCCAAGTGCTGCACAGAAGTATAGAACCCACTGGAGCATTTAGTTGCATGTCAATAAACAACCTACTTTCCCCCATTACAGCTATGTTCTGGTCCTGTGACCAAAATAAACCCATTCATTTGTTACAAATAAATACACTTTCCCCAGCCTGTTGTGTAAAGCTAATCCCCAAGTATTGCAATTTCTAGAATTTTAAAATTAATAGATGGCATTTTTATTAGCCCATCTAAAACATATTTCTTTTGACACTGAGTACAGAACTGATGCATTACAGCAACTGATATGCCATGGTTCAAAAATTCTGTACAAGAGTGGTGTGCAAGAGACCTTGGACATTTTATCAAGATTTGGCATTTATAATCAGTGCCATTAGATGGCACTGTTGTGCCTTATAAACAGGGAAATTTTACTTTGCTAAAGGTAGGGCAACATTGGGCCTTTGCAGACTGCTAGAAATAGTGCAAATTGAGTCCACTTTAAGGGTTAGGGTTAGTGCTAGGGAATCATGGAAATTGTGTTTTTTTTTCTGAGACATTGAGCCTTCTCTGTCAGAGAGCACTAGTTCCACAATAACATATTGTTCCCATGATTCCCTAACCCTTAAAGTGGACTCAATTTGCACTATTTCTGGCAGTCTGCATAGTCTCCTTGTCAATGCAGCTAAGATTAATCTCTCCCTCAGTCATAGCTGCTTTGACAATGTTGCTCTACCTTTAGCAAAGTAAGATTTCCCTGTTTATAAGGCACAAGAGTGCCTTATACAATCCATAGTTTAGATTAGAGCAGAGCAGCACAGATTGATATAAAACAAATCTCATTTAATATTTCTCATCCACACTGAGATCAACTAATAACCAAAGCATGCTTACTAAAGACTAAACTCATTGAGTTCAATAGGACTTAATAAACCCATTTAAAAAGCTACAGCGTTTCCATGTGCACACTACACAGTTCAGCCCCAGATACTGAATATAGTGAAACATACTTCTGAACAAACATGCATAGGACCAAATAATGGAAATACTACTGTTTGGTCCACAATTCACAGTCCCCCAGCTAGCATGGCCATTCTAAGTTTTGATGTTTCTGAATGATTGGGGAAATTATGCCAATTGTTGTTTCCCAGATTTACACACAACTGAACTGCTTCACCCTGAGAGGCAGATGCATTTTTTAAAAAGAAATAAAACTAGTAAGCAGTTGGGAGGAGCAACAGATCATTCAGAATTAACCATAGTCGTCAGTAGAGAGATTTCTTACACAACTGCCTTATACAGCTTGCCCCTTACATCACTTCCAAATTGATGTGTCTGTGTTTAAAGAAACATTTAAAGCATGCTTTCCCTCTCCTGACCACGTTCGTCGAACCAGGGGCCTCCAAATATGTTGCACTACAATTCCCACCACTCCCTACCAACATGAACATATTGCAAAAGGATAGTGAGAGCTGTAGTTTAAGACATTTCACAAATCACAGGTGGAGAAGGCTGGTCCCTAGGATACTAAAAATTGCACGGCATAGAACAGGTATAGCATTAACCCTTTTACTTTTTTTATTTGTCATATGTCTAAACCATTTCTCATATAAACAAAAACACAAAGCTGTTCCCAACAGCTAAAATCATTTACTATTACTAAGAGAGTAAAATCATCATCGTCCCAATCAAAAACAGTGCACTGTGCAGGTGTAGGATAATCCATTTGTGTAAGGCACAGAGACAATGAAGAAGGTATGTTTTCAGTAAATACCTGTAATGTACCATACAGTGACATGATAACACAGTGCAAAAGAGAACAGAGCTTCTGCATCTTTAACAGCTGTATAGAAGAGACGCTATCAGCAGGTGGAGTTTGCATGGTAACTTCCATCTGCTGAACCCTCTATAGCAGGGGTAGGCAACCTTTCCCCTTTAAGGGCCGAGGGACTTCAACTCCCAGAATCCCAGGAGCTATTGGCCAACATGGGACTATTGGCCAACATGGCTGAGGCTTCTAGGAGCTGAAGTCCCTCAGCCCTTAAAGGGGAAAGGTTGCCTACCCCTGCTCTATAGTATACAGTTATTACCCTGTTCAGTTTTTCACCTGGCTACCCTACATGCGTGTGGCTATCATGGCAAAGAAGGCTGCTCCTCTGCATAACTCCCTTAAGATGACAATGGCATAAAGACATCAGATCCCATCTAATCTCAGAAGCTAAATAGAGTTAGCCCTGGGTAGTACTTGGATGGGAGACCACCAATGAATACCAGTTGCTGTAGGCTATATTTCAGAAGGAGGAACTGGCAAAAGTTTCTTTGAGTATTCCCTGCCTAAAGAAACCCTATGAAATTAAGTTTACAGGCAACTTGGAGGCACATACACACATAAGAGACTGGTATAGAAGAGAAATTTTCCAAGGTAGTTTGATCTTGAGCGCTAAAGGGCTTTATACAGTGGTACCTCTACTTACGAATGCTTCAACATACGAAAAATTCAACTTACGAAAAGCGCCTCCGGATAAATTTTGCTTCGACTTACAAAAGTGTTCAACTTATGAAAGTCGAAGCCACGGAAGCGCTGCGTTGTTCAATGGGCTGCCCCTGGAAGCGGAGAGGCTTCTCC